GGGGTTCCTTATTATATTTATGGTATTAGGGGCCCCAAAACCCTACAGGCCTACAGCGACAACAAATGCAAAGCTGGTTCAACTCGACGTCTGTCTCAGCAATGGGTCGGCCTCAGATCAGATCCCAATCAATGTATCTAAGCGTCGCTTTAAGCTCCTGCTGGATGAATTTCGACTCGGTGCATCGTCATAGCGAAGTTGGATGTAGTCTGCCAACTGATTCCTGACTCGGACAATTGGATGAACCACACACGAAACTCGAAACATCTGAGTGGCTAATACCTGTGCAAGTCGGCTTCAGACAGGCGCGGAACAACAACCAGAACCAAGCTGATCACTGGGGCTCGGTGACACAATGCTTTCTCCTAGACCTGTCTAAAGCACATCTGCAATGACCAACCATGAGCCAAGCATCAAAAAGACGGCAGCGTCCTGTCTGAACAGGCAGCGAAGATCTGGCAAGCCTACTGCCGCTAACAACATACTCAGCGACATGTCAGAGAGCCGCTTCCAACGTCCCTAGGTCCTGCTCTGTATAGCGGGTGAGGCCCAATGAAACCACAGCATCGTGCAAGTCTTCTGCAGAAATCATGGCTTGCCCTGTGCGAGCTCCTGACAGTCTGGCAGCAGCAGCTGCACACATAGTTCTCTAAGCTAGGATCCCTTTTNNCCAATATAATACGGCGCCCTTATAAAAAGGACCCCCAAACAGGACCCTTTTTCTTTAAACTGCCCACATGGGAGTTTCCGAAAATAGTAGACCCTAATATAGTACCCTAAATACTTGGATCCTTATTATAAGGACCCCAAAATAAGGTACCCTAATTTTTGGCAACTCCCACATGGCATTTTTGACTCAGAGCCGACAAAATCAGAAAAGGGCTCCGAGTCGAAGCTGGAGCCGCTGCTGCACCGCGCGCTCTGCCTGCCGAACACAAGGCACAAAACACGTCTGGCCATACACTATATGATACTATAATATAATAGTATATACTATAATATATTACAATACACTGTAATAAACTATAATATAATAGTATATACTGTAATATACGATAATACACTATAATATACTATAATATACTAAGTGCGACGTGTCGACCAATCGTGGCCAGGCTGCGCTACCAGATGGCAAGGATCGTTGCAGGCTCTCCTTTCTGGCAAGGCGTCCCTCAGTCTCAGCACCCCACATGGGACTCTCCGAAAATTAGGGTACCTTATTTTGGGGTCCTTATAATAAGGATCCCATTATTTAGGGTACTATATTAGGGTCCCCTATTCTGGAAACCCCCACATCGAGCAGACACACGCACAAACGCGCGAACCACTGACTGAGGACAAGAACTTGATATGAGAAAGACTGCCAGCGAGTCTGGAATCTGGAAAAAGGCCCCGTGCTTTTCTGCAGGTACGTTCAACTGATCAGGCTGGATATGGCAGTCACAACTGTAAGCGTAATTTCGTTGCACACGTTAGGCTCCGAATGTTCCGAAGCCTCAACCCCAAAAACTTAATCAACGGAAATAGGGAATGCGTATGCGAACACAACAGGCCAAGTCGATTAGACCACATGCGCTCATGTCAGTTTCACATGCTCTCCTGCAACAGGCTGATTCTGACACGAACCAAAACAACGCAAGCAGAACAGCGACACTCGTGCCTCTATGTGTGTGTGTGTGGTGTGGAAATAAACAAATAAATATATATATATATATACACACACACACACATGCCAGCGTATATTGACATCGTACAGACAGGTGGTTGCAGATCAGCTGGTAAGCCGCTCACCGAGCTTTGTGTCGTGCTTTGACGATAGTCCATCGGTGATGTCACCTTTTGTGCCAGAGAAGAAGGAGCAGGCCTCCCAGGGCAGGGCGCCGAGTCAAGGCAAATGTGGCACTACGAGGGGCCTCGAGGCGGGTGCGTCTGCAGGACGCTCGCTTGGAAGAAGTGCAGTCCTGTAAGTCAGTCCATGTCATTCCGTCGCAGTTTCTGAGCGATTTTGAAGTCGGGCACATTGTCGGGTGCGAAGCCCAAACTCTTTCGGATCCCGATCGGGCTTGCCGCCTGTCATCGCACAGAACGACGGTGCCAGGATGCTCGGTGTGCCTCGGATCTGTAGCCGCTGGAACACCCTGAACTCTTCAAGTATGCCAAAATTGTCCATTGAGCAGGCGCTACGGGGCCACAGCCTAGGGCCTAGGGCCTAAGGTCGACAGTACTTGCCTTACAAGCCTATCTTGGGCTGCCTTACGACCCGCACCCCATGCCAACCCGCCAACCACCCCTAACCCAAGGCAGTGAGGCTAAACATGACCTGACGGCACGGCCGCTGAATCTGGATACACATCCAGCAACTGCCTCCTGAAGTCTTCCAGGGATCTGTCCAGGAATCGAGCGAAACCATGCTTGTCCATCATCGCCGGGCAGTGCAGGGAAGCTCTGTGTTTTCCATTAAAAGGTAACTAATTCTTCATGACCACAGCTGGCCCAGCTCGTGACAGAATTCCTGCAACGTCGGACTTTCTCCTGACTCGGGGAGCACGCACTCCCGATCTTGAGCAAAGCTACTTGGGATTCGCATAGCTCATGCTCTCCAAGCATATGGGCAGTTCTCTAAATTAGGGTCCCTTTTAGGGTCCATTTTATAAGGGTGCCGTACTATATTGGGGACCTAAAAAGGGACCCTAATTTAGAGAACTACCCATATGCAAGCTTCGATTGGGCTTGGTCTTCGTAGAACCGAAAGCTCAGGACCCGCGCGGGAAGGAAAAGTTTGCCAGGTAGCCTCCAGCTGCTGAAAAGCAGAAGCTTGCGCTGGGCACCGACCCCACCAGCACCTGCCTAGGGTCTCCAGCATGGGATGCGAGGTGCCCGAGATAGCCTCGTGAAGATTAGCTCAACATGAACGTGGGGTGACAACTTTGCCCTGGCCTCCGTGACCACTGAGCTGTGGTGATGCACGTGCGAGGCCTGCAAGACCAGCGCCGGCAGGTTGCGCGAAGTGTTCGGTAACCAGATGAACAAGCCTTGTACACCGCAGGGGTGTGGAGCCATCGGTGAAAAAGGTAATAGAGCGGCTCCTAGGAGGCAGCCCCACGGTCACTGAGATTTTTTCAGCTGAAGCAGCACCACGCTTTTCCCAGATCCGAGGGATCCACGACCACGAGGTAGTGCGCAAGGAAGCACACCTCAGATCTTCACAGAGCTTCAAAAGGGAGCGCCGTCCCTCTCTTTGAGGCCGGCCCTGAACCTGCCATGACCGCAACTCAGACAAATTCGCTGCTGCCCAGGAGCTGCGATGTTTGACCAGCTCAGCGGCACCGTCTGGGTCGTGCAGATGAAAAAAATCTACCACACGAGGCTTACTAGCTTACTGGGAGTCTAGGAGTCTTGAAAGAACCGTCCACAGATGCCATGGGGGGGGGAGTGTTTCCGTGGTTGTCCTCTTTTTGTGCCGAGGTCCCTGCTGTCCTCAGCCATGGCGTCACAGCATCGACCTTGGGAAAGAGTCGGGGGCCTCTTGCCATGGATTTAGGGTTTAGGGTTTAGGGTTTAGGGTTTAGGGTGTGGTGTTGTGGCGTTCTTCCTGCGCTGAATAACAACAGTGGAGGTGTGGGGAAGGCCCAGATTGGACGCCAGTCTGGATACTTAAAGGATCATGGGACTTAGTAAGTAGGGTTATAACTAAGGTAACTATACTTATAACCCCATTTAGGGGACTTATAACCATACTTACTAAGTCCCATGATCCTCCAAGTAGCAAGGGCCCAAGATTCCCAAGCTTCGCCTCTTGCGGGGCGAATCTCTCGCGATTCAACAGACTGAACAGCACTCTTGGGTTTAGGGTTTAGGGTTTAGGGTTTAGGGTTTAGGGTTTAGGGGCCCCACTTTTCCCCTTTTTTCCAGGAATCGAAAACTGCCGGAAAGCACGGCATGGCTTTGGGAGCCGGGCTTCACTTGACGAAGCTCTTGATTGAACCATGTGGCTGACAAGGTGGGCTTTGCTTTCGCAGACTTTCTGCAACCAGTGACATGTATTGCCAACAACTGCGCCCCCATATTCGGTCTTCATAATTGCACAGTCTGGGTGCCTCTCGACTTGGCTTGAAATAGCTCCTCCGAAGCTTCCGAACAGAAGCAGGTTCGGGCTCCCGACCAAGACAAAGGCAGTCGGGGAAAGAATGACCGGTCCATCCCAGTCCTCGCGAGATGCATCAAAAGCAGCCACCACGCAAGCTATTTGAGCGCAGGCACCCGTCTGCAGCTCCATATACCCCACTGCAACGACGATGACACAAGAACCCTGCACAAGTCCAGCTCGCGCTCGTGCTGCTCTGCGGGTGGATTCGTCCTATGGATGCGCACCTGCCACCGGTTGCTAAGCGCAGGATAACTGAAAGCAGAGCACGGTCTTGTATCGGACAGTGGCCCTTCAACTGCACAGCTGTTTTGACACATCGAATCTGTCGTTTTGCCATGTGAGCTGGAGAAGTAAAACTAGTCAAATCATCTCTGTTCAAGCTCAGGCTGGAACCGGCTCAGCAAAAGTGTCCAACTTTGACAGAGCGGTGAACAGCAGATTCACCTCGGGTCTCTCAACTGATTCACGGAGACACACAACGTGACACTATTGTCCTGCTGAAAGCCAGGATCTACGACAGACGAGATCAACTGAGATCTCGCGCGAGATAACGCAGCAGAGTGCCGGCGATGAGCATCGGCCTGGGCATGAGAGGGTAAATCTTACCCTGTCGTTTGGAAAGGTTCTGCAAACCTGGCCTCGACCCTCAACCGCAACCGCAATGGCTATCACTCAGGCAAAAGAGTACTGAAGAAAAGAATTGTTGAAGCCTTGCATCGGCACTCGCCGACAAGATGCAGAAACTGTGCCCCCTACAGCATGTGAGTGGCACCCACCTGGACCGCCAGCACCTCGCATTTCGGAGTGGCAACTTCCGCGATCCGCCAGCTTCAGAAATTAAGCCAGCTGTGGTGGAACACGTCTCGGATGAAAGACCAAGGTCAGTGCATATGTGGCCGGATAGACCAGGTATCCTGAGATGCACCGGTTGAAACAAGTGTTATGATAAACGTGATGCCTGCTGTTCAACGTTCTAGCCTCAAGCCTTCCATGCCCCGCAAGCCCCCACAACAGATCAGTGAAATCAAGGTCGTCTTTTCTGGACGGACCTGCCACCTTCGCACTCTCCTGTTTCAACCAGGCAGCGGCCCCACCAAGTGGAGGATTGGGATCCTCAAACCATGCACGAACTTTCACGACGTTGCGCGTCATTTATGCACTGTGCCGCTTGCCAAAGGAGCCCTGGCCTAAAGCAAACTACAACACATCTGATGCGAATTTCTGTCTCCTCTAAACATGTTGAACATGAGCGCGGTGAGCACGATCACCGTGACGGAAACCTGCCAGGCTCCAGCCGCGCAAGCTGAAGAGTCTGGACATATCTGGGAGTTTCCGAAAATAAGGGACCCTAATGTAGTACCCTAAATAGTAGGATCCTTATTATAAGGACCCCCAAATAGGATACCCTAATTTTCGGAAACTCCTATATCTGGACTGGACCGCCTGCAACGCCGCGAAAGCCATGCTGAAACAGAAAAGTTGGTCACGCGACCAATGGCTCGAGCAAGTGTATAAATGAGTTTCGGGACAGTGCTGACCTCTGGCTGCTGAGGCTCGTCAGACTCTGCACTCTTGCTGGTCTTAGACTACGCAAGTGTCATACCAGTAGCCAAGACAGGGTTAGATAGCCTGCACCCTTGCAGAAGTCTCGTTTGGCACAACCTCGATGCACTGGACATGCTTCAAAAGGCCATCAGAATGTCTCCCGAACACTCACCTGCGAAGCCTGGAGCAGCGGCGATACGTGCAGCACCACACAGAGCTGCGCCAAGACAGATCTTTCGGCACGGCTGAACCGGAGAACTTCGGATGAAGCTCTGAAGCAGAGCGACGCACCTCGTCCTTCGGCATGGGTCCAATTTCCACGAAGGTGTTCTTCACCCTTCCGATCCACAGCATGCACTTTAGCACAGAGCCCCCTGCATTTGTCCGGACAGTGAGTTGATGATGGTGGACGTAAATCTCCGAGGTGGCTTGGGAGTTGGGAACCTATTGCCTCGAGCTCTGACTTGGGTAGATAGGCCCACAACAGCTGTTAGTGACTGTTAGTGCTGCTGATTCGATTTCGAGTTCTTTGGTACATCTGCAATTATGCTTGCTAAATTTTGCTGTCAATGCTGCCATCATATGGTCCCTGATCATGGCTGCCGTCGTCTACAAGCATGCAGGCAGCCCTTCCAGGAGATTTCGCTTTTGTAGGCCCGCAGCAATCTCGCCGCCAGCCGGCGCGCAGCTTGCTTGCTGCACAGCAAGCGGCGTTGTGGAACACATGTCCTAAGCATGGAGGTATTCTTTGGTATTGAGTAAAGTCATGGAAGGCCCGCGCGATCCGTGCTGAATGCTGGATTGAAAGTGTCGGGATTCAAAAAATGTGTCCCTTCCCGTTGGCGCGCACGCACGCATCCTCCGTGAGATCGACATCGAAAATCAAGCCGCTCCGACGGGCTCCACCTACCACTGTAGCATCAGTACCAGCTGGCTGATGGTTTCAGTCCAAGCCAGTGAATCCGGGCAGCCACGCAGCAAGCAAGGCACAATGCTCTATAAGGCCTTCGGAACATGAGTGCTATTGGTGCTCACCAGATCAAAAAGACGTAAAACGACGGTGTTGCAGGATTCCGTCGGAGGCGGCCAACCCATGCCCGCCCCCGGTCTGCCCAATCGCTCGCATCGCCCCCGCGGCATTCCGAGATTCAAATAAGACGTGCACCTGATTCGGGTACACCCCAGCCGAGGATGCCAAGAGACCACGAGTCCCTTAAAAACTTCGAAGCTTTTCTAGGGTTTAGGGTTTAGGGTTTAGGGTACTCCGCAGTGCTCCGCAAACACTCTTGGCTCCTCCTTGAAGGGGTGTGGCTAACGTTTTCGAGTACATAAATTTACAATGCCACCTTTGACAGGCAGCAAAACAGAAGCGCAGACTGAAACTTTGTCTCCTGCATTTGTAGCTGAGAGTCAGATAGTCATGCAAGGAATCCATGTTAAGTCCTTTCAGTAGCAGCAGCCATCCGGCTGTCACTCTGCTCTACGCGTACCAGCAAGCGTATGGCAAGGAGAGATTCTGTGCCGGACCTCCACCTGGGTTTAGGGTTTAGGGTTTAGGGTTTAGGGTTTAGGGTTTCAGAAAATAGGGGACCCTAATATAGTACCCTAAATAGTAGGATCCTTATTATAAGGACCCCCAAATAGGATACCCTAATTTTCGGAAACTCCCACCTGTGCTTGGCGGTGCTCAGAATGTGCTCAGAGAAAGCGCCCAAAGCTTTTGGCAAACAACGCGGTCATCGACACCTCAGACCGGCTGGACCACGAAAGCCGGCAAGTATGTGGGAACAGTACTTGAGCTGGTTGTAGCACTGGGCAACCACAGCATGTAGGAAGGAGGAAGAAGTAGAAGCTGGGTATCACTATGATTTGTTTTCCACTGACAATATAGTCGAGCAGATGTTTCGCGATCCCAGAAGAGAAAGATCTTCACTCAGGCAAGCTGCACGGTGCGAACAGCGCAAGAAGCACCTGCACCGACACGAGACAAGCTGTGACCGCATTTGGCCTAGAGCGGCGAACACTCTCAATTCTGAGAACACTGAATACTATTCCGGGACTGCGCCGGCCACACTGAACATCCTTTGAGCTGCACGCCTGGCGAATGCCTCGCTCCTGTCATGAAGCTCACATCGATTGCAGGTACAAAGGGCATGGCACGCTACAATGTGCTTTTGGGTCTCCTCTGACACGCCCCAGAGTCCACGATGTTCGGTGAGCAAGTCCTCAACATCTTGCGGAATCCAGGCCACCTCACAGCGGCTCTGGGGTTTAGGGTTTAGGGTTTAGGGTTTAGGGTTTAGGCTTAGGGTTTAGGGTTTAGGGTTTAGGGTTTAGGGTTTAGGGTTTAGGGTTTAGGATGGTGGCGGTGCACGAAGGGCGCAACTCGGCCCCACCTGATCACTCGGTGAGGACCAAGAGCACTCCAGTCCCGAGCTCGCTTTGATGCAAGAGTTCCTGAGTCTCTTAGAACAAAATGGGTAGTGAACTGCCCATTAGGACAAGAGACATATGGGTAGTTTTCTAAATTAGGGTCCCTTTTTCGGTACCCAATATAGTACGGCACCCTTATTAAAAAGGACCCTGAAAGGGACCCGAATTTAGAAAACTGCCCAAGTCAAGGCCATGGCTACACGTTGTCGTGGCATGCATTTAAAGGTTCTGTGACACGACATCTCCTCTGCCATAGCCCGGTTAGAACGGCCAATGGGGGTATTGGTAAGTGTCCACATTCTGCACTGGTTGAACCTGAAACCGACCTGCATGGATTGAGGCTGCGGCGTGCCCACAAGGACCCAAACGTCCAACTGCCTAACGGCCATCAGAACGCTAAGGTGCAACATGCTTTCATGCTCTCACTTGATGATGTGCAGCTACGTGCTGGCAAAGCAGGTCGACAAAGGGCCTGCCATTCAAAATCAGTCCCAGGAAAGCCAGTGCAAACGCACGCCAGTCACCTGGACGTCATCAGACCAGTTGACTCTTTGCTTGCCTCTTGCTTCGCACATGGCGGGAAGTCTGCTTTAGGCAAGGCAGCTGGGGCGGTGTCGCACTAATACTAAGATCACGCTAAGATGCGCAATGCCACAAGGACTCTGCAGGCGGGGAGCGATTGCGACTCCATCGACAGTCGTACAGGCTTCCAATTTCCTTCAGCCAGTGATCGGCTCCTGGAGTCGCGTCTTCTCTGAAGCCCTCGGCATGAGATACTGTCTTTTCTGAGGCAAGCGCGGGTAACGCTGCCGAGGTCGATCAACTTGTAGCTGTCCTGCAGCGTGCAAAAAAAGAGCACGGGCACAAACCGCCGTGAACATGGATCAAGACATGTTCAGTGTCGGTTCGGGCGAACTCTCGCTTCCCATCACAGGCAGAGCAATCCAAGCTTCGTTGTTCATGTGTCGAAGAATGTTTCCGTCGTGCATGTCGTTGTAGACCTTCGCCGCTGGGGTTGATTCACGACAGCACGTCATACCCTCCATGACCCGATTGCGCTTGCGAAGTCTTTCCTGCTGCACGGTTAGTCCGTCTAACTCAATCAGTCAGATGCCAGTATCATGGCGAATCTGCACTCACCTGCATAGCAATCGCAGGGACGAAGCGGTCGCACTATAGCTTAGCAGGCGTGCTTTCTCAGCCTGTTCATGTCTAGTGTTTCGCACAACTGCCGCCAGAGTTGGGCGGTGTCAACCCTCGACCCCTCTGAGATCTTTCTGAAGTGTCTTTTGCGTTTTTTCATACTCAAAGGTCCCGCAAGCAGCAAAGGGGCATATCCGTCGCTGTGAATTCGCCGAAGGACGTTGGCGACCTCATTGTTCTCGCAATCTTCACAGGGACAGGTGCAGGTCCTTCCATGATGACTTCACTTCATGCTTTAGCCACCCTAAACCCTGAACCCTAAACCCTAAACCCTAAACCCTGAACCCTAAACCCTAAACCCTAAACCCTAAACCCTGAACCCTAAACCCTAAAACCTAAACCATGTTGGAGCTGAGCTGCAGGTAGCAAGCTGCTCGCAGCCCTTTGAGGGGTGTAGTGGACCTTCGACAAAAAAGCGGATGAAGAACTTGAGCCAAGTAAGTAGCGTTCAGCGCACAGCGGTTTGGTCTTCCTGGTGCAAACTCGAGCCGAAGCCCAAACTAGAACCCTCAATAACGGAAAGGAGGAAAACCCTTCCCATTCCACGTTTGCAGTTGAAACGAAAAGTCGTGTCAGAAAACCGACAACATCAATCTGGCGAGTAGCGAGGCCGCGTCGGATATCTTGCAAAATACAAGCCTTGCACGGAGAAACTGGATGAACGACAGTGGGTTTTTGAGCAGGTTCTTCCGGCCTTCTCCGCGTCTCCTGTGCCTCGCCCCAGCTGCTTGCCCAGTCGCTCTTCTACGATCGCCTTCGCAGACAAGAAGAATCCCCGCCACAGTCGAAAAGGATAGAACCCTAGAAAAGCTGTCAGCGTTCAGACCTGCTAACGCTTGGAAACATGGGGTCCCGGGTCACCTGCGGCACACCGTTGTTCCAGACCACTTTCCTTAGTTCTCCGTTAATTAACTTTTCTAGGGCTCAAGCGTTGCCACACCATGTCACAGTGTCCAGTTCCTTCTTTTGCCTGGGCACTGTAGCTGCACCAATCCCGCTTCGCCGGACCAGCGTGCCAGATATTCGATCTCCAAGATCATGTCCTGTTGGGCATGCATTCCCATACATTTCCATGAAGGCTTGCTCCCAGTATATCCAGCTCAGATAGATCCAGCTTGCTTTGTCCAAGGCTCTTTGCGCATTTCGTCCCCATTCCTGGGTGAGTGTCCACGTCTGAGAACTCACAAGACTCGCATCTTTCAGACGGAGAATCCTCACAAACCTTCCTGACACAGGCTAGCTGGGAGTTTCCGAAAATAGGGGACCCCAATATAGTACCCTAAATAATAGGATCCCTATTATAAGGACCCCAAAATAACCCAGAGACTCCAATATTCCTTAATTAAGGAATATACCTTAAATCATATTAAGGATCCTATTATAATATACCCCAAATTTTCGGAAAGTCCCAGCTGGGTGCATCTGAGAAGCTCCACGGTGAGCAGCCGCCTGCCATCCTGGACACTGGCAGACTGCACATGGGAGTTTCCGAAAACTGGGGGTACCGTATTTAGGGGTCCTTATAATAGGGATCCTACTATTTAGGGTACTATATTAAGGTCCCATATTTTCGGAAACCCCCACATCAAAGACAATCTAGTAGTAGTAGTAGTAGTAGTAGTAGTAGTAGTAGTAGTATCATTCTTATTATTATAACTAGTGTCATTATTATATGCACATGGGTGGCTGTCGAAATTATGGTCCCTTTTTGGGTCCTTATTATAATACGGCACCTATTTGTTTAGGGCTAAAACTTAGGGTACCCCAAAAGGGACCATAATTTTGACAACTGCCTACAAAGAAAATCCAGAAGGACAGTTCAGCCAGCGAGCCATCTGGGACACAATGCGCACCAAGCGCGCGCGACCGGCCTTCAGGCAAGCTGGCACATCTGTGGTGGTTCGTGGTAGCTGCCCTAAGATCTCATGATGCAAGCGAGGTCGGGTCTGCCGATCACTTGGCATTCTGCGGCCTACAACTACACGCATGATCGGTCGTGGCGAGCTGACCACGTTCAACTCACCCGCCTGGCCCACGACTTCCAGCTCCCACTGCTGGTTGCGACCGCCGTTAGCTGCGTAGGCACACACAGCTGCACCTTGCCACACGCACTTTTTGTCTTCACAGCTTCTCGAGCATGCACGAGCACGGATAGACATTCATACTTCTCAATTTCCAACGCCATGCTCACGTTCTCAGCATTCTAAGCTCAGCCACGGTCCTGAGCTGCGGGCTGTTTGCATCCTGTGCACCCACCACATCGATGCAGAACTTCAGCGGAATGGCTTGATCGCCCCTCGCACTGCGAGAACATGCGGGCGGTTGTTGGGTCGTAGGCCAGCGGTGTGGAGATTTGCTCACTCCCTTGCTATAAACTTCTATTTTTCGATTGCAGATTCCTGACATGTTCGAACCTGGCAAAGCATATCGCATGCCCAAAAGAGGCCCGAGAAGGATGTTAACAAGCCCGCACGACGAAATGATAGACTTTTGGCTGAAGCGCGGCATGCAGTCCAGCTTGCTTGTGATGCGGCTCTCGTCATCAACCTGAACGGGGTATGCAGTTATGCCGTGATGCATGGACTTGCTAAGACTTTCAAAAGAAACGGCTCTCTTCAAAGTCTGTCAACCCCGAACATGTTTGCCCCTTCGATCCGCAGGTTTCCAGTGAGGCCTTATGGCATTCAGGACACACTTGCTGCATCACGTTCTTTAGTGGGTCGCTCTTCTGAGACGAGTCCCACCAACTTCACACACTTTCCGAGCAGCTGCAATGCTACAAAAGTCCTTCGAAGGCGTGCCTTCCATTTCTGCCGGTCGCCACCGGAATACTCCGAGAGCCTGTGCTGGCTGGAAGGCTTCAAGATGTTCGGCGCATCCCAGAGAGTGCAGGGGCACTTGCACAAAGAGTTGCCGCCTCAGTGAGGCGGCGTTGTGCCCTGGGCCGCCTCCGCGAATCTCCAACACCTGCCCGCGGGACGAAACAAGCTGGAGACTTAGACAAAGGGGACGTTTGGGTGCTCGGCGCTGGGAAGAAGGTCGTCTTGGAAAGGGCCCAGCATTCGCCGTTGAATAGAAAGATAGAACCGCACCTGCATTCCCGAGGATCGATTGCAGAGATGGAAATAGGCACCGTCGTCTTTGCAGGGTATGCAAAGCCAGAGCCTCGGTAGTCAGCAGCAGTTCGACGCAATGTTGTGATCCGCTTGCAAAATCTGCAAAAAAAAACATCACCAAACTTAAGCCAAAACACTCAACAGTTCTCAACACAGGCCTCTCTCTTGCACCGCAAGCACCAGTCACTGTATTCTGCACCCTACTACTGCGGAATGGAGGCCAACTGTAAGCTAAGCTGAAGCCTTCATCGAACTTGGGTAAGGACATGCATGTGGGTAAGCACTCTGAATTCTTGCGGCTTTTGCACAAAGTTCCTGGTGGTGAATGTCTGCTCCTGTGCAGCTATGCGCCAGCCTTAAATCACCCAAGTCTCTGGTCCCGCTCAGCGGTACTCGGCATCTTGGCCGTGCTCTCCGGTTGAACGAAATCCTGCATTCATCTGCTTGTATGCACAGATGCCCTACACTTCCCCACACCACTAGCATCTCTGTAAAACTCATCTTCGTTCCTTTGCAGATTTTCTGCCTCACAATCGGAAAAACCGACCTTTCGGTGTTACTCTTTGTCATGTCCCACTGTCAAGCACCGCGCTGTCCTTCAGGCAAGGTTTGCTGAAGGGCGGCCTTGGCGAAACGCGGCAGATTCCCTCATGATCGTCTTGACCACACACCTGCTACTGTCTGGTGCTTAGTAGGGAATGGGGGAATGGGTTATAGGGACTACTATAAGGGACCTTAAGGGACTACCATAGGGATCCATTCCCCCATTCCCTACTAAGCACCAGACAGGCTAGCTAGTCCTAATATTCGGCCATCCTTGTGCAAAACGAGGCCCATAAGGTCAAGCAAGTGCAGCAGTTACCACCCAAAAAACCCAAAGCCCTACCGCCCTTCTCACAAAAGGAGGCATCGTTCGTGCTGACATAAACAGGAGAAGCTTCGATGCATTTCCATTTCTGTTTTCATTCCTTGCGCAACGAAGTGACGGCAACCCCAATGCCGCTGACTATGCAAAAGGATCGAGGGAGGTGGTCACTTTTGTCGTCTTCCATTTCCTCCTCTGCCTTTTCAGGTCGGTCTATTGTCCCAGGAACTGGGAGTCTCCTTGTTGGGACATGCTACTGGACATAGGCGGTTGCTCGAAACCCACGCGTGGCGGAGCGAACCCCATCTCTGCCCCCTGATTCGGTGCCGGAGCTGCCATGTCGATTGTTGGAACGTCCCATGGGAAGCCCTGCGACATCAGAGCCCTCTCTAAGAAGCTGAAAAAACCCAAATGGCTACTGGCTTTCATTGTGTTTTTGGCAGACATTTCTAACGGGGTTACAAGCTTTTATAAATTTCATAAGGGTTGGTAAAGGCTTTGTGCAAATGCAGGCGCACCGACATCTTCAAAAGACTAAAACACCGAAAACTTAAACGGTCGTACTCCTCTTCTGCTGGCAAGGCACAGCTTCATCACAGATGGGCGCCACCTACCGCTTTCAAGCTTGTCTTGTGCTGCAACTCAGCTGGCGTCAGTCACAGCAGTTCAGGAAACCGGACCACCTCGCTAAGCCGCTACCTAGCTCGGGCGAGCTTGAAGTCCTGAGACAAGATCCGCATGGAGAGTCCGGCGCCTTCCATCCGAACCCTGAAGCTCAACTTCGTAGACCTCAGGGCAAGGAACATCTTCTCAAAGCTACCAGAAGCCTGGGGCTGCGGGCCCTGGTTTTGAAGGATACTGGAACGAAGATCCCAGATGACTGAAGTCAAAGTGGCGCTTCCCTGGTAGCCATTGAAGAGACAACGCTGATCCAGGTCCTCGTCCTGCATCACCAGGCTTGCAAGCCGGTCACAAGTGAAAGGTGCCAGTAGGTGCAGTGGACGGCTTGCTCTGTCGAGTCTAGCACAAAACAGCAGCGAACCGGCAAAAGAGAGGCGATTGTATCAATAAGAAGCTTCAGACTCTTCGAGAGAAGCATCAAAGGACCGCACTGCCCCTCTAACCCATCCCTGGACCCTCTTGCCTGCACAGGCCATACACGCGCGTCTCGCAAAGTTGGCACCACCAGGGAGGCCAACCATCTCTCCTGGCTTGAGTCCCTTCTTCTCCTCCCTTTTCTGTCCCGCTTAATGGTTTAGAGCCGAGGCTGGGTACTGTTTGGCGGCGTCTCATGCGTTTCGGGCTTTCTGTGGGTGAGACTACCGAGGGCAGGCGAGACCGCTTCGATAGGGAGGGGTGGGGGGGGTTGTTGTTCGTGGAT